TTTAATGGAATTTCAGTTATGTCTTATAAATTAGCCCATTATTAAATTGTACGTAGCCTTTAATATATATTCTGTGTTAATGTAGATTTGCTTACGTTAGGATAAAAGCTTTTCTAATTCTCAATTACTTGTAAAATGTATTGTTTTTCTTCTTCATTTTTGGTCAACAGATTATTATATTCAGATATAAGTTTAACATCACGTTCAGCGGTATCGTTTACCACTTTTGACATTATCATTTTTTCATCAAGTGTCAAAATTTTAGGGGGTGAGACGATGAAAAAATCGAAAAAAAAATCGACCTCTATAGCTAAGGGCCACCCTAGTGCGGAGTAAAAAAAAAATGCCAGTGTAAAGGGGGTATCAAATACACATCGTAACACAATTCGAGTGGGACTATACACTTCTCGAATCAATTACCTCTCATACTCAACAACATACACATCGTATACACAATCACTGTACACTTTCACCGTTTAATCACGATCAAATATATATTTCAAGGCGTTTTTATGCCGTAAAGCCTTTTCTCCTAAATCGTATCATTCGAGCTAATAAATTATTATGATTTTTTAGGCTTAATTCTGTCTACCTAATGTTTTATTTATCCTCTTCCTTAATCAACTTTAGATATTATTTTGAAACACGAAATTTCCCCATGTTGGAAAGTTTCGACGATACAGTCGCAATTAAAATATGAAATGACATTCCAAATGAAGAAATTAGGACTTGCATTAACATGAGTAATCGGTAGCAAGAGGTAATTGAACAACGTTGAGGAAACACGTGTTACTAGAATTTAAACACACGCACAGAAAAACGGCTCTTTTCAGACCTATATCATGTGCAAAATTCGTCTGGCAACCTCTGCGCGATACATATCAGACAATACCAATATCGGTGATATATATGTCATAAAAGCAAAGTTACTTTAAACTGCTGCATTTTTACTAAAAAAAAAATAGCAGCGACTTTTCACTTACTGGAAGTTAAGGGGGGACCTCTATGTAGGTGGGCTCAAAAAATGCATTTTTTTTTATTGCTTAAAAAGTTACTTTGAAGCCTATAGAATACGAAATGCATTGGTATTTTGGGTGAACCATAAAACTATTGCTGTGAGAGCCTATACCCGTCACCCGCCTTCGCGACGCTCCGAGAGGCGTTCGGTCGTATAATGACCGGGGAGCTGTTTATTTTCTATCCCTGTTTGAAATGCTTCTATAGCTGTAATAAAGTTTAGTCAGATGTTTTGGAAGAAGTATTTACATGAAATTTTTAAAGGAAAGGAAAGTTAACAGATGCCCTAATAAAGAAGCTGCAATCTCACTATGGATTAGCCATTAGGAGGAATGTAAACAGTGTTCCGGACATGAAAAATGGAATATTGGCTACGCATTATCATTTGTGCTCAACGGACAAAAATCCGAGGCACGAGTATTGTCCGACAGCAAAAGAAAGTAAGTGCAAATGAAAGAAAGCCGAAGTACACGGAACAACATCACAAAATTTGAATCTCCCTCCACCTCTTCGCCCGACGTACAGCAGCACATTCTTCCTATTTTCGAAGAATTATCAAACGAAAATTTGCTGCACAAATGTTTAGACGGTCATACGCAAAACGCAAACGAAAGTTTCAACTTGACCGTCTGGCGTATAACTCCAAAACATTTGCATTCCGGATAGAAAATATTCGAAATTGCAGCATATATGGCAGGCTCTGTCTTTAATGAAGGTCATCGTTCAGTCCTACGAATAATGCAAGAACTCCAGCTAACTATTGGAAAACAAGCGGTGAACTATGCTGAGAAAACCGATCAACGCCGGATTCAGAGGCAAGGGAGGCGCAGCTCCTTGTCCACAGAAGAGGTCTGTAAAGCACGTAGAGAGCAGCTGGCTGAGCAAAATGAGTATTTGGAGGAAGCTGAAGGATTATTATACGGTGCTGGAATAGCAGATTAGCCAGTAAGTCACGAAATCATACATTTTTTTCATACCGAAACTTGAAACGCAATTATCTCGAAACTTTTTTTTTTCGGTAAATTCAATATCGGTGTACACGATTACTCAAAAACTACTCAACTAATCGGCCTGAAATTTTGTACACATTTTCATAGAAGTACTGTCTCCTGGATGAACCTAAATATAAGTTAAAATCATTAATATAAACAATTTTTTTATTGCAAAAAAGAGTAAAATTTTATGGAAAAATTTTAAACATTTTATTCTGAGGTTTGTCATTTTTCCAATTTTTAATTTTTTTTTTGTTTTTTT